GGAATATAGTATTTTACAGTCTGAATAAAATCCTCACCTACCCGAATGCAGCCATCCGTCTCTGTCGATCAGCTCTGCTGAAGCAGCGGCGTTCTTGTAATAGCCAAGACAAATCATTGGTCCTTTAAGGTGAATTTCACCCCTTTTGTAAGGACCGAGTTCTTCACCAGTGTCCAGATCAACGACCTAAGCACTTTTCAAAATGCAGTCGTCATGTACTGAATGTTCATAACATTGAAAATACCTTGCATTCGAAGTAGGGCATCAGCTGACCACAGCTGCCAATCTTGGGATGATTTACTGGAAGAGGAGGGGTCCGGTGCGAAGCCCCACAAGTTTCTGTCAAGCCGTACCCTATGAACGCCATAAGTCTATTTTCTGTGCAATTTTGCAATTTTATGGAACACAACCTTCAGAGAAAGTACAGACATTCGGAAAATTAGCTACAAACTCCTTGCACTGTTCTGGACTTATTGGAGCGGAGCCGACCAGCACGTGACGAATACTGGACAAGTCGTACCGTTTAGCTACCTTCTCCTTGATCATCCTTTGCAGCAACCTTGGAACGGCACTTAATGAAGATAGCTAAAACAGGCATCGTTCAGCAATGATAATAAACTATGTCAGTTGGGCAGATGCCTTCTGATTCATCTAACAAAAGCATATTTTAGATCATTTACTTAACAATCATGATTTGTGAAGCTCATTTCAGTCCTGTATCTTGTTCCTCTATAAAATGTCACATCAATGGCTCTAGAAACAGGGAAGCACACACGACGTTGGCTCTCCGCAAGCTAAATAACAGTAGACAGGCCATCTGCCCCGAATATGGCCGATGAAGTTTGGCTGAGGTGTCGGCGGTTATATCAAAGACTACCATCTGCCCCCTTTTGGTGCAAAATACCGTTAAGGTGACAATTTATTGATGATTAATGTGATTGGTTTATGCACATGTTTACGTAACTCTTCATTTTTTCTTTACTCTTTGAACAATGTGCTATTGGCCATCTGGCAGGTTTGGAGGCGGCTGATACGCATTCATATCCATCAAGGACGACTGAGGCAGCATCAGAAAAGAAACCGGCGCCAATCATTCAATTCGACCGCCCTGCCGAAAATGCTCGATCTCTATGGGACTGGTGACTCTCTGAGGCAGAAGAGTATCAACTATGTGTCACTTTGAAAGCCATGGAAAAACGTTTAGTTTGAATCTCACGCCGCGACCACCGGCAGATGGTCGACGATGATCATCAACTGACATCTCGTGGGCGGACTGAGCCGCTTGCTTGCTTGCCCACCAGGACAGTGGGAAAGTCATATCAGGAGCTGGGAGGGCCACGCTTTGTGGGAAAAGGTTCGAAATCGCGAGGAATGGCGAAGTATTGCGGCTGACAGATTCTTCGCCGATTACCAACTGGTCTTAATGATCCAAATGATAGAGTTCAAAAGTGTAGCCGTAAGGCGCAGGAAAAGAAAACAATGCATGTACCTCTAGTAAGCGAGAGTACGAGCTCATCATACTGTCATTAGTGTTCACAGTCAACGACTAGCTACTCGTTGTTGACTCTTTAAACTTTTAACAGTACGGCAAATTCCTTGCTCATAGAAATAGGCAGTGCAAATAGGAAGATTTCCTCCATGAATGAGACTTTTACTAGTTCTTTAGTCCTCGAAGTAACACCGCAACCCAATGCGCAGTTATTCTCTCACACCGTAAAGTATAAATCCATATTTCTGACTTTCTCTTCTGATTCCTGTTTCCCTGCTTTTCCTCCTGTATCATCGCTATGTGGGTCAAAAACGTTTTTTGGCACAGCTCAAGTCTGCAGTAGCAGTATCTGGGGAAGAGTCGCTATATGCTTTGCTTGAAAATGTAAAACTGTACTGCGATACTTACCTTATATTTTTCCACAAGTCCTAAAAATGTATCAAAGCTAAATCTTGCGACAGTAATCAAGCAACAGCCCGCAGTCAGCCATTTGATCATCATCAACAGTCCATAGATATGGTAAAATGGAAGAAATGCTGCTGCCGGTCCAACAAATAGTCCAGTCTGGTCAAAAGCGCTATAAATATTGAAAAAGATTTAACCGGACACAATCAGAGTATTATCAAAAACGTTATTAAATGCCTTGTGAATGTGAAGTTTAATTAACTAAAAACTTGATTTAATGTACTCATTATCATACATTCCCACAATTTTTGCATAATTTACAATGAAACGCAGTACACGTTACATCAAGAATATCAATAGGTTCATCAGGTTCATTTTTAATAGATATATCGCCACGTATATTTGACAAATAATCTTTTAGTCGTCATCGAAAAATTCTGCTTTTCAGCAAAAAAGTACGAAGAAACTGTGGCCTGCCTAGACTCAATAATGACGAATGATATTGAAGATAGAAAATCGGTAAAAAGCAGCTTATTTCAATTCATTCATTCATTCATTCATTCATTCATTCATTTATTCATTCATTCATTCATTCATTCATTCATTCATTCATTCATTCATTCATTCATTCATTCATTCATTCATTCGTGCATTCATTCATTCATGCGTGCATTCATTCATTCATTCGCGCATTCATTCATTCATTCGTGCATTCATTCATTCATTCGTGCATTCATTCATTCATTCATTCATTTATTCATTCATCCATTCATTCATTCGTGCATTCATTCATTCATTCGTGCATTCATTCATTCATTCGTGCATTCATTCATTCATTCGTGCATTCATTCATTCATTCATTCATTCATTCGTGCATTCATTCATTCATTCATTCATTCGTGCATTCGTGCATTCATTCATTCATTCGCGCATTCATTCGTGCATTCATTCATTCATTCGTGCATTCATTCATTCATTCATTCATTCGTGCATTCATTCATTCATTCATTCATTCGTGCATTCGTGCATTCATTCATTCATTCGCGCATTCATTCGTGCATTCATTCATTCATTCGTGCATTCATTCATTCATTCATTCATTCGTGCATTCATTCATTCATTCATTCATTCATTCATTCATTCACTCATTCATTCATTCGTGCATTCATTCATTCATTCATTCATGCATTCATTCATTCATTCATTTATTCATTCATTCGTGCATTCATTCATTCATTCGTGCATTCATTCATTCATTCATTCATTCGTGCATTCAT